ATAGATAGATAGATATATATATATTATATATTCTACTTAATTTTCGATAACAATATATATCAATTGATATAGTGGTCTACCCACTAACTACAGTTCAGAAAATGGCTATTGAAAATCTTCTTGACAATCCTACTTTTCTTATTGAAAATTAGAAGACTCTCCATTGATAATGAATGTTAGATATTTACTGTTTGAAATATGCCAATGCGAATTTGTATTCGATTTGGAGAAAAATGACCAAATAAGGAAAAGGAAAAATCATGTGTAGAATATAGGGAATCCTAAATTGTGCAAATAATTAAGATATACAAAATAGTCTTAAATAGTCTTTAAATTAAATAAATAAATAAATAAATACACAAAGACATACACAAACTTACAATATCTTTCCAGGAAATGACAACATGTGCTTTTATCAGAACAAAGTTTATTTTATTATGCATATTTTAAGACCATAATGCAGTAACCTCAGTACAGTTCAGTAATTCAGTGTACATCATGTTAATAGTGTAAGCTGAGTAAAGTGCCTTTGGGGGTTAGTAGAATCATGTAAACTTTGACATTCAGTACAAGAGCAAGAAACGTCCATCTACATACTAGTGCATAGTTTTTGACAGTAAAATAAGGCTCTTCTTTACGCTGGAGATATCTCCAGGGGATAGGAAGCTAACAGTTGCATATTATTTATTTTTTTACCATATACAGTGATTAAGTTTGACATGTTGGCAACATTTGACATTTATCAGTCATTTTTGGACAGAATTTTATGCTCACCGTGAAAATATTCACCACAAATGCATAAAAAGAGGTTGTTTCAATGTCACACATTTACATACTGTAGTAAAGTGTCAAAAATAGCTAAATATTTAGAAAATGTAGAATATATATTTGTACTTATGTTGACTTAATCCCCCAATTTAAAGGCTGAAAGCTGCAACAGCCACTGCAAGATTTATTTTACAAAATATATTTCCATCTTCATCATTCATTTGCCAATTTGTTGAAACTTAAACTCTAAACTGTTCAAACCTTGTCAACCTAAGCTTTTACACTGGAAATAAAGTGTCAGCTGTGCATCCACCTAGACAGGTTTCTTCAGAGAGTTCATGGACATGAGAATACTCGGTTGCTCTTCTATGACACGCACAAGCAAGTTGTCAATGTACTGCTCGAGCTCTGATATCTTTTTGTCTTTCTCTGACAGCTGCTTTTCCTGTTTAAGCACCAGAGAGATGAGTTCCTCTCGAGTCAGCTGGGAGTACGGCCCTTTCAGCTCAGTGTCATTTACCTGTGAGAATACATAAAACATGGAGAATGTGTGTTTATTAAACACAAATGTGACGGAAAAAACTCTTAAAACAAAAGATTCAAACATTTATATGAAAACTTTCCTTTGTTCATTTACAATCCTTTAACCACCATAAAAGTATTGATTAAAAAAAAAGACATACCTTTGTTTTCTCCTGAAGTTCACAAAGGATTTCTGTGGATTTGTTATCTCTTTCCCCTTGAACAACTGAGACAGACTGCTGTCCCAGAGGATTAAGGGGTTTTACAGGTTGAAGCCTGCAATGACAAAAAGAAGAAAGACAGATTTAGGCACTGGATTGAATTTAGGGAGTGAAATGAAATGTAGTACTGGCGTGTAAGTATGGCTCAGTTATCAAGCTGCTATAATTTTATATAAAAATCAAAGCGTAACCTAGCAATCACCAACCTTATTCAATACAACACAGTTCATATTATACGCAGCATTATTTAGGGAGCTAGGGGTGTTTGATCAAAAATATATGAAGACAGAGTGATAAATATTCTGTCTCACCTGCGCGAAGTTGTAGGAGGCCCCTCTTTCTTCCCACCTGCCTCCTCCCCAGGACTCTGCACTGGCTGGGACTCTCGTAGTGGACTCTCTTGGAGATGGTTCGGGTCACATGGCTGCGTTACACTGTTATCTGTCACATGGCTTTCCTCAGTGCTTTGGTTGATTGCAGTGCCCGACGTGGCGGCTTTCTTTCCAGGAAGCGGGGGAGCATGGGCCATCTTTGAGGATTTGATTTTTGCCTCAGAGGAGGCATCTTTATCAGCAGCCTGAGACACAACTGGAGGCCACTGTACTGGACCAGTATGAGTTGTTGCACCATCTTGGGCTGTGAGATCATTTTCATCTTCATCGTCTTCAAATGGATTTAAGCCATAAACAATCTCTTGTTTTGCCTCTGAGCCACATTCTTTGCCACCTGAAGACGAGACCGTTTTGGGTTCAGAGGAAGGCCCTTCTTCCACAGAACGAGGTGTAGTCGGTGCCAGACGTTTACTGTGTTTGGCAACATTTGTTGTTCCTTTGGTTGCACTACTTTGAGTCAAGCTCTGGGTGTTCTTTGCATCTTTGGGAGACCTACTCAGAGGAGCGATCATTTGCACAGAGCGCCGAGGGGGAACGCTGACGGTTTTGACGTCTTTGTCTTTGCTCTGCTTGTTAATTTGTGCCAGATGACGCGTAGATCCGTCCTGCTCCCTCTGAGTCTGTCTCTCTGCTGGATTTCTTCCTGGAGGCTTAGGAGCTGGTAGCTTCTTTCGTTGAGCACTAATAAGATCCTTTTCATCAGTGGAAGCAGTCTTACTTCCCTTTGATGATTCAGCAGATTGATTCCTAAAAAATTAAACACAGACTATATGACATTTAAAACCGACGGAAGCGGTTTATTGAAAGGAGTTGCATAGGGAAGACAAAATAATGGTGCCACACCGACTGAATCTAAAACAAGTCATCAAGGATGTTGACAAGTAGATTCAAGATATCAAACTCTTGTGTAAAACCTTGTGTTGCAAAATTAGAGAGCAAACAAAGGAGAACACAGAATATATTTATTAATTTTCTTCATTTTTAAAAGCAGTGTATAGTAATGTAAATGTCCTGATATAATAATATTAAGGAGAAATAAAGGAGAATATACCAAATTAATCTCATCCGGAGATCTCTGAAGTTACCATCCACTTTCACTTAATTACCCATTGTTCCAAGTTATTTTCACTACCTGTATATTTGATGCCTGATATAATGATGTAAGACTCCGCAATGAGGCCCCAATCTCAGTAACAAAAGAAACTTATCCTTGCTCACAGACATTCATGTGTCTGCACACTCATCGACTCCAAGCACAGAGCTATGCAATTTTAATGACGTATCAGCTTTAGGTTGCATTTAAAACAGCAGCATTTGGATGAACTGTTGCTGTCGTGACTGGAAAACAGAAGATAAACTACATTCAGATAACACTTTCTGTACATGTAAATGACTGACTTTATATCATTTTCATCAGGCAGTCAAATTTAGTTCACCAACTCTCTTGCCCTATTCTGTTCATGTTCTGCTACTGATAACAAAAGGCAGGTTACCTACTCCAGCTAGTTACCCTGTTACACTGTGCAACACCCACAACCTTCACCGTTTCCCACAGATGTATTTCATACAGGCTTCAACTGTGTGAAACTTAATGCTGAGGAGTTGGTCAGTGTGAACAAGTTAGGGTTTATAGTAAAGTAACTAGTATTGCACAAAAACATTTCGATTACATTTTTTTTTACCTCTTTAGTTCTTTTTGGCTCTATGGATTGTAATGTTGGTCTGTCAGATAGTCAAATATCTTAGTTCGGAATTGTGTACAGACATTCACGGCACCAAAACAATGAATCATACAGACTGCTACTGTGATATATCTCAACAGCTACTAAACAGAAAGTCACATTTTGTACCGACATTCATTGTTACCAGATTCTGTATATTAATGACTCTGGTGATCCCCTGACTTTTTCTACAAACCCACCAAAATGCTAACAAAAATAAACTTTGCTAATCCCCTGACTTTTTATCTAGCCCTATCATTAGGTCAAACATTTTATATTTAAGATTAAATTTAGTAAAAATATTTTATAGTTGTAGATATAGTTGTTAGTAAGTTGTTGGGACGTCAGCTCTACCAGGTGAGTTACCAGGGCGCCCCAATGTACTGTATCTATCACAGTGTTTTGGTTCTGTGTAGTGTAAGATGATCTGAACTAACCTTTGTTGGACAGTTGATATTTCAGCAGCATCCTCAAAGGGATTATTTGAAAAGTCTTCATCAAATGGATTGGTAGAGGTGACTTCTGCAGGGCTCTCCACTTTAGACTTCACCGCTGCAGGTTTGTGTTTCGTTTCATTCTTTCTCTTCTTCTGTTCTTCTGCATCTCTTGTTAACTTCTCCTTCTCCAGCTTCCTGGCCTCCTCTTCTTTCCTATCCTTTTCAGCTTTATCTTCCCTCCTAATTTTCTCCTCTTCCTCAATAATCCTCTTTTCTTCTTCCTCTTGTCTCCTCTTTCTCTCTTCCTCCACCCTTATCCATTCCTGCTCTTCCTTTTTAATTCTTTCCTCCTCCTCGATTCTTCTCCTCTCTTGTTCCTCTTGTCTCATTTGTTCTTCTACCAATCTCTCATGTTCTTCCTTTTCCTTCCTAGCCCTCTCTTCTTCCTTTTGTTTCCTTTCCTCCTCTTTCCTAATCATTTCCTCTTCCTCCCTTTGCCTTTTTTCTTCTTCCTCAATTCTCCTCCTTTCTAGTTCTTCTAGTCTCCTCTTTTCCTCTGCTAACTTCTCATGTTCTTCTTTTTGTCTCATAACCTTCTCCTCCTCTTCTTTCCTCCTCCTCTCCTTCTCCACCCTTGCCCTTTCCTCTTCCTCCTTTCTAATTTTCTCCTCTACCTCAACCCTTTTCCTTTCTTCCTCCTCTTGTTTCTGCTTTTCCTCTGCCAATCTCTCATATTCTTCCTTTTCCTTTCTAGCTTTCTCCTCCTCTTCCCTAATCCTTTTCTTTTCCTCCTCTTGCCTTTTTTCTTGTTCCTCTAGCTTTCTCTTTTTCTCATGCTCCATCTCCTCTTCCTCTCGTCTCCTCTCTTCCTGGGCCCTCTCCTCCTCCCTCCTAATCCCCTCCTCTGCTTCCTTTCTAACTTTCTCTTCTTCAAACCTTCTTCTTTCTTCTTCCTCCAGTCTCCTCTTTTCCTCTTCTACTCTACGCTCTTCCTGTCTCCTAGCCCTCTCCTCGTCCTCCTGTCTCCTCCTCTCTTCCTGAGCCCTCTCCTCCTCCTGAGCCCTCTCCTCCTCCATCCTAATCCTTTCCTCTTCCTCTCTTTGCCTTTTTTCTTCTTCCTCAATTCTCATTCTTTGTTGTTCCTCTAGTCTCCTCTTTTCCTCTGCTAATCTTTCACGCTCTTCTTCTTTTCTTCTAGCCCTCTCCTCTTCTTCCTGTCTCCTCCTCTCTTCCTGAGCCTTCTCCTCCTCCTTCCTAATCTTTTCCTCTTCCTCTCTTTGCTTTTTTCTTCTTCCTCAAATTCTCTTCTTTGTTGTTTCCTCTAGTCTCCTCTTTTCCTCTGCCATCTTTCACGCTCTTCTTCTTGTCTCCTAAGCCCTCTCCTCTTCCTCCTGTCTCTGCTCTCTCTTGAGCCTCTCTTCCTTCTCCCGTCCTCTCTCGCTCTTCCTCCTGTCTAACTTTCTCTTCTTCAATCCCTTCTTTCTTCTTCCTCCAGTATCCTCTTTTCCTGCTGCTAAATTTTACGCTCTTCCTCTTGTCTCCTTTTCTCTTCCTGAGCCCTCTCTCTTCGCTTTGCTTTTTTCTTCTTCCTCAATTCTCCCTTCTTTCTTCTTCCTAGTCGGCCAATCTTCTCCTACAGCCAACCTCTCCAACTTCTTCTCTGCCTAACCCTCTCCTTCTCTTCTTTTCTCCTCCTCTCCTCCTCCATCCTAATCCTTTCCTCTTCCTCCCTTCTACGTTCACCCACGTCCTCTTTTATATTTTCTACTTCAGCCGTCTCTTCCTCCTCCTCCTCCTCCTCCTCCTCCTCTGTCCAGGGTGAATATTGTCTCACTGCCCTCAGTGAATCAACAGATGGAGGAGAGCTTTCAGGGACGTCTTCCATGGATCCGTGGCCTGAACTGGCCAAACTAAAGTTGGAGCCGATACGTGAGGTCCGTGGCGGTGGCTCTTCACAGTATACATGACTGCCATTGATGCACAAGTTACTCTGTTCTGCAGCGCCATGTTTTTGGTGACCAGAGGAGGAATCTTTGCTGTCTGAGCTGCCTGAACGTTTGTGTATCATGAACTTGAACTTCTTTTTACCTGGAAGGACAATGAGAAAATGAACATGCAGGACAATGAGAAAATAAATAACAGTGATAGGACAGAGTGAATTCAAAACTGTTGCTCTGACCTTCAGAAGAATCCACGTTTAGACCAGAAGACTGGCTGCCGCTCAGCGAGGAGTTCTTTGCAGGCAGAACAGACATAGACTGAGACATGTTCCTCTGCAGGTTAGACTTGGTAGAAAACAAAGACTTCATCTTGTGTTTCTTCTTTTTCTCGTCCTTGCACGCAGCTACCTCACCCTCCCCGTTTCCGTCCTCCTCGCTGTCTGTCAGAACCTGAGTAAAGGATGGCACCACAGTGGACACAGCATCTGATTCCTTTTTCTTGCCACGAACTTTGTCCTTGAACTTGCCCAGGCGAGACCTGGATTTGCCGGCACCAGAGAGGTCAAACATGCTGGCGGTCATGTTGTTTCTCATGAACTGGATATCGACAAGCACCTCTCCTCTGTCTTTGTCTGCCTTGCCAGTCTTGTCTAGCAACTTAAACCATCTGTTAAAGAGAGGAATCTTATTAGAATAACATTTTCCAAAGGCATGTTTTAGATTTTAGAACACATTTGATATATTATTCATTCATTTCTTGTTTCAGTGTTGGATATATAACTTAGACCTGCAATATTTTTGGGCCCTGTGTCAGGAGCAAATGGGTCTAAATTAAGACATGGTAGTCATAATTACCAGTTGTATTATGTTTGCAATCTGCAACTACACCACTAGATGCCACTAAATCCTCCACACTGGTCCTTTAATTTTAAGGTTTTTAGCTTCACACATTGTCTGTATTATAACAAGATTTTAACCAGAACAGAGTTATATCAATGGAGCATTGATCCCCTACTACTACTGAATGGTTTAAAAGAACCATGGACACACCAAGACTGAGATTCATTTACAGTAAGTTGACTTTTAGTCCTGGTAAGGTTCCCTGTGGAAACTATGATCCATCTAAATGCAGGGTGACTCAGCATTGACTTGAATGTTTTTGGAAAGTCTGTGAGGATCTAAGAACAACCAGCAAGCTGACCATGAAGGAAAGTTTTTAAAAATAATAATACTGTCCTGCCTGTGTCAGCCTCTAATGTGGGGAACGTATGAATGCTTGTACTGTGTGTATATATTTGTTTCATTAGTATTTGACAGCCTATGAACGTTTTTCCTCCAACGTCTCACATGATCAAATCCTACTAAAGAAGCTCTACGTCAGGATCAGACTTGTAGCGTAAATTTATACATAGCAGGCTCTCTAACAGCGTGTTTGCCTCGGAGACAAAGCGTCATACTCAACTTTGTGCATATCCTGCATGTTCCCAAACATCTAACCCTGCAGACAGTCTGTGCCCAAGGTTTTTTCCCCAAATCTAACAAGATTAGTCTCTGCTCCTCACAAAACTTAAACTGGTGAGGTTTACAGGGAACTAATCTGCTATTAACCTTTAAACATACTGTAGGTATGTGCCAGAGAGAAACAATGCTAACAAACTTCCTTGCATGGTCACATGTCCTTGTTCTTGGTTTTTACCACATTTTAATATAGTTTGACAATGAATTATCCAGATGACAGTCTAGGAATCCAACATAAACACTAGTTACAACCTAAAACAAGTAACTTCAAATGTATTCCTTGTAATAAAATCTTTAAAAACTGCCTAAACAGACTTAGTAAACATTGAGAACAAGATTTGTCAACTTTGCACAGCTTCTGCACCTGTGTCATAGTTCAGTACTGACAGAGGGGTCTCAGAGTAAAGCAGAATAACAAAAAGGAGCAGTCAGCATAAAAAGTGCCCATCAGGCAGAAATCTGAGGTCAGCTCACCACTGAACAAACAACTCCTAATGAAATCTGGATTCCTGGGGAAATGAGGAAGGGGCCGTGTGAGTCTGTGAGTGTATGTAAGTGTGTATGTGTGTGTGTGTTGGTTGTGGGTGTGGTGTTTTGGTTGTGTGTGTGTGTGTTGTGTTTGTGGTTGTGTGTGGTTGAGAGAGAGAAGATGTGTTTGTGTTGTTGTTTGGAATTCATAACTGTTTTCTTGTTAAATGTGAAGCAAGATTTACAGATTTAGCTGAAAATTGTGGTTGTATAAACATAAAAATGTGAAAGCATTATGCAACACTGAAATATATAATGTATTGTGTTTGTGAGTTTGTGTGCTATTAAACTGTATCATTCCCCCCTCATTTTAAATAATGCCTCTCCCTGAGATGCCACTGATATGTAATATAGACCCAAGTGAATAAGATATGTTGTTGAGATTCACCCTCCTCCTCCTCCTCCCTCTCAAGGAAATGCTTCAGATGTTGTGGCAACAAAAAATTAAGGAGGGAAGCCTTTTCACTGGAATTTGCCTTAAATAGATGAAACTTGTTACAGTCCCCTGCCTCCTACTGCTTGTTGACTATGGTGTGATTGGCACATTTCAGGCTACATTATAAATATTTCACTGTGAGACTTCTTTGTGATTTGCCTGATGAATGTCCTTCAACAAAACACTGCTAGACAGATCATGCATTCATTTATCAGGCAAATCAAGAAAGACCTTAATCCATTTTTAATCGGTTTAAACATCTATAATTCCATGACAACTGGGCAAACTCCCTAACTCATATTTTGACTCTCCCTTGCTTCACCCTACCCGTGTGAGCAGGGAGTGGTTTGTCCATTCTGGGCTACTGTAGAAAGTCTGTAGATATAAAACGATTATTCTAAGATTAAAATAACAAAAACATATATTATGCATTTTATATTCCATTTCTTTTTCTAGGTTATATCGCTCCACAAATGTGTTTTCTTATATCAATAACTCTGGTAAATCTGTAATCAAAAACCAACAAAAGGCAGTAAATATACTGTATATGTGCCATATGTTTTACATAGCTATAGTAGAACACAGTGTTAGTATAGTATGGTATAGTATTAGGGTTATTATGGTATAGTAATGTATGCACACTGTGGTACAGTATCCAGTATAGCATAGCATATAAATAATATTATAGTATCTTACACTTTAAGTGTACTACAGCTGCCTATAGCGTACTAAACTCTACCAACACTGCACTATACTTTAGTATAGCATGCAATACTATACTATAAACACTGTATGTTGTATAAAACACAATACTATACTGAATTATACTGTATAATCACAACCCTAACCTTTGGACAACCTCCATACTTCTGATACCGACACATACCACTAAATACATCCCACATGAGCAAGTGAAAAAAGAGAAGTAGTAAGCTAGTTCAGTTTAAACAGAAGGGAAGTTGCAAAACTGTTTGGGCGTTAGCTGGTTGAGGTAGTAGGCAGTGTGCAGGAGGAGGAATTAAAAATGCCTTTCACTTAACAATGCCTGGATGATGAGGATGCCCATAATCTCACACTCCTGTCAAGAGTAGAAAGTGTGCTGCTCTGCGGTACAGACAGAACAACAAGAGGATAACGCATGACTCAACATTTTGTAAATGTATTCTACTTTCTGCACGCGCACACAAGCACACACGCACACACGCACACACACACACACACACACACACATACACATCCTTCCTTGTGAAGCCTGAACTACTGATAAGACAATGCCCTGAGTGGCTCAAGCCCTTCTTATCACAGAACACAGCTGTGTGAGTGGGAGAAGAGCTGAGTGAGTAAAACAACTCAGTGATAATGTCCATGTACCAAAACTGCCCAGGGCTTCATGTATCGGTCCACATCCATGAGTCAGAGAAAGGAACCAGAGTGAAACTGACGAGAAATTCTATTTTCAATGCGTTTTACAAATCAGTGGTTGAACCTTGTGTTATTTTTTAAACCAAAGTTGATCACAATACAGAACGTAACCTATATAATCAGTAATGGCTGAATTTCATTTAGCTGCTTCAGTTTCAGGATCCTGGTTTTGTTCATGCTCCAGTCAACCTTTTCATATTTTTTTACTTGACTTATATTAATGTTTGCTGCTTTAATTTGAGGGTTTATTTTTCCTATCCCACCATTTTCTAATTTTACCCAAACAGTCTTAATTTGAATTTGAATTAACCTTTGTTATGCCTTTATTTGAGTGACAGTTAAAGATTGACAGGAAATGGGGAGAGAGAGGGATCAACAGCAAGTGGCTGCATGTTGGAACTGAACACGAGCCGCATGGGGCGCATGCTTTATGTACCTTAAGTGACTTAAGTAAAGCAACTTTTAGGCCAACATGGACAAGAAGTCATAAAAAGGACGAGTGTGAAGGATTTAGTGGCATCTAGCAGTGAATTTTCAGATTGCAACTAACTAAACACCGTTGGTGTATTTGACAACCTGGTAATGAGAACAGGCTATGGAGTGTGTAGGAGAAACTATGTTCAAAAGAGCAAAACTTAGTTAAATAATTACTTCACAGAATTCAGCAAACACCATGTAACTTTAACAGTAGAGCTGCTATACTGGCAGCTAGGGGAACATGTTTGTCTTTTGGGGTTTAGTACATTCACAGTGGTCTTGTTCAGAAAAAACTGACCTTGCTTCACTGTCCCTGTTGCCATCACTGTTTGTTTTTCATTGATAAAACTGTCAGGAATGCGTGGCTAAAGTCGGATTTAAACCTCAGAGGCAGATCAACAGAAAACAACCTGAGCATTTACTCAACAACAGAAGCATGTGTGTTTGCTGATTCTACAATTATAGTTGTATATAGTATTTCCAGGATAAGAAATCTTAATAAAACGCTATACATGCATCAACATGCAAGTTTTCTGCAGCAGTGCTTAAGGCAAACCAATATCTGAAAGCCAAAAAGAGCAGATGTGATTAGCCACACACACACACACACACACACACACACACTCCAAAGTCCAACACCATGCAGCATTAAATATGCAGCCAGGTGAGGTTCGGCTTAGCATGCTGAGAGAGAGTTGGACAGTAGCCAAACCAGAGAAACAGGCAGTACAGTATGAAAACTCTGAACAAATTAATTTTAATCACAACTCATTTCATACTCCCAAATCTAATTTTATATGAATTTTAAGTGTGACAGAAAAAAAAAGGAACTTTGAAGCAGGCTGACTGCTTTCTCTGTGTTATCAAAGCACTGCCATAACATGAACAGACAACAAATCTATTGTGTTATGATGAAAAAAACATGAGCATCAACGTCAAATGTAGCCCTGGTATGGACGACATTACAATTCATACAGTGACCCAAGACATCAAACAGCGCAGACAGACCCAAAACAACAAGGTGGGAGAAGGAAGTGTGTGTGTTTCGACAAACAAGCTGGTATGCAGTCTGCTTTTGTGTAATACCGGTCACACAGCAGGGGACTAAAATACTTAGAAACAGCTTAGCACAACAATTATTTTCCATTCTTACTGAACTGCAGGGCTGACGGCTCTTGCATTTCAAATCTTTAGGATATCTTGAATTAAAACCAGCATATTTTCTGGTTAAAGGAGCAGGTATAATCGCCATTACTGAGAACAAACAGTATGTACCAGGAAGAACCTGATCATCACTGCCATTATTAGCACAAAACTAAACTAAAAAAGGCAATCACCTCAGTTATTTACTTCACGTTCTTTGCTTGGTGTGTATGCCTCGTAAAGCATTAATTTAAAGCTGTATAGTGGCACATGAGGAGAAGGTCCTCTTTGTGGAATTTCTCTGTCGTTGACAAGCTCAGTCAATGAAAGAGTGAATACTTTGACTTGTGTCTTTTGGCTGAGTAAGTAATGCTGACTGGCATCCTTGAAGGCCGCTGCAGAGGGGAACAAATCCGTTAAGCTGTGCTGGAGCGAGTGGGCAACATTCATAAGTCAAACCCACCAAAGCAGGTCTGTGTAGTGATGCATGGATGTGTGTGTGTGTGTGTGTGCTCGAATACCTCACCTCAGTGGGAAAAAAAGGTGCAAATATCACACAGGGAAATCATACTCACTCCCAAGGAGCTTTTTCCAATGCACATATTAAGGGAAACATATTCATATGGCAACCCTAATCCAGTTTTCACAGAAGCTGCATAATTGTATTTTTACAATAAAAGAAGATATGGTGTGTAATTATTAAGGATTTAATGGGGATTATGGTGTTTTCACAAAGCTGCAACATGACAGAGAGCAAGCAGAGTTGTCTCCCTGTGGCACAGAGAGGAATCTCTCCAGAGTCCAGAGACTGGCTGCTCAAACTTCAGCAGAACGATTTCTTTTCAACCATTTCCCCAACAGACAAGCTCAAAGATGCCTCTTTTAAACAAGGGTTAATGTTGTTTGGTGATGGCTTAAAGACTGTTTGACATTTTTGTGTAACAGAATTGACTATCTCAAATTGATTAAGTCATTTTAGGTTAAAAAAGTTGAAATTAACTAGTTCCAGCTTCTTAAATGTGTTTTGTTTTAGGTCTTATATGATAATAAACCATCTTTGGTCGAACAAAACATGACATTTCTAGACTTTGGGAACTTGTGGTGGGGAGTTTGACAACTTGTTCATCGCACAATTATTCGATTAATCGAGAAAATGAAGTATAGATTATGGATAATGTAAATAATGGTGAGTTGCAGCCCATCTCTCTCCATGCATCCATTGGGTCATCAGCCTTTTCTTTAATCAAACATTGACTCCCTGCTGTGCGCACTTACTCGGTCTTGTTACGGCTTTTGTCCTCACTGAGCTGCAGCAGGTTGATGACAGCCTGTCCCAGCAGTTTGTCTGGACCCACCAGGGCCCGGTGCAAGACCTGGACGTGCAGGGTGGATCGCTCCGTGCCTCTTCCTCCTCCTCCTCCTCCTCCTCCGCCCTGTTGCAGCAGCGGCGGCAGGTCGAAAGCGGCCTCCTCCTTCCACACCGGTGCCACGCTCTTCTCCACCACCGAGGTCTGATACTTCTCCTTGCCCACTTGCATGACCGCGTACGCATCGTTAGTGCCGCTTTTCCCCTTTATCCTGAGGCCTCTGGCTTGGAGCACCGTTACCTGGACGCTTGTGGGACACCACTGCTGATCCGCCAGGGACATGCTGACTCCACTTGTTGCCGGATTAACAGCGCGCAATAAAAATTAAATCCAAAAACACTCAAACGCGGTCGTGTCTGCTGGGTGTTCAGCGTGATAATGACCAGGAGAGAGGAAAAGTTTTCCCGTGAGCTTGGTTGAACTTGAGGAAACAGCTGATTGGGCGCGGTTACACCGACAGGGGGCCTTAGTTAAGACAAGACACTCCCACAGATTACATGACTTCTCTAACAAACCTGACACGCTGCTTGTCAAGCCCATTCACACCACCACAATCACTTACTGGAACCAATAGGCCACACCTGATCCCTGTTGACACCTGCCAGAGTGCATCAGCATCACATCAGCTGCATTAAAGTAAGGGCAGGACTGACTGGCTGATTGATTTGTGTACTTACTTAGGTTGACACTTTGTAATCATTGCAGTTGCTTGATTGGTTTTGTCTTTTCATTAAAGAAACAAATATAGTGCATATTTTTAGCATTACTTATAGTCACAGAGTCCCATCTATGTTATCTATCTTTCTGATCTAGGTCTGGTACCTATAACAGGATACCTGACAGGCTGGTGACAGCAGAGTTCATATGGTTGGATTCAGTTTCAGGTGTAGCTCCAGTTTGAATCTTAATCAGGCTGCAGTCCCACTGCAGATCAGGTGGATTGAATTCTCTGAAATACATGCAACGTGTTTTAGCTCATTCATGGACTGGCAACCTTTCCAGAGCTGATTCCCTGCATTCTCCTCAGTACAAACTGGGATAAACCCTCAGTTCCCATGAAGTAGGATTAGGTGGTGATGGAAAAGTGTGTTTTATACAGCTGTCTAAATCAGATTGTATATTGATTTGTATGTTTATAGTTGAGTAAAACGTGCTCACATACGGGGTGGTTCATGTTTGAACACTGACTCCTGCTGTTTAAGAAAGGGAATTAATATGAACACAACTTATGTTCTTCCAGCAGCAGCACTCTAAATCTCAAATCCTTCAAAGAAAGACTTTCCTAACCTGCAAAACCTACATTATGACGGCTTACATTGTACGCCAAGCCTGAAAATGTTTGATCCCACTTTCTCTTCTACCTGGAGCAAAGATTAAAGATGGAGACACATATAGAGCCTTGAGCCAATTAGCACCGTGACGCACAAGTGTTGGCACTGCCAAAGTGTCTGTCTGGCTCTGATGTAAAACGCTGTAGTACTAGACACTTAAAATAGTCTCTTAATGGCTGTGCAGATAATTCAGTTTTGGATGTCTTTAAAGAAAGTAAACAGTTTTAAGAAGAGACTGCTTTAATGTGACATACATCAAGCTCACATGGTAATAAAAAAAGGAGGCAAAAAAATTAAGGTCACAATAGGAATTTGGTCTACAAACAAATAGTTGGAAAAGACAAACTGATCCATTTGCATTTGTACCTTCTGTACTGTAATTTCACATCATACAAATAATGTAAATAAATATAGATTTTTACACACAAATAAATATCATAAACATTTTCTTTCATTCTGAGTGGTAAAACAACAATAATAATTATTAATATAAAATCCTACTTCTGATAATACACATTCAGCATTATGTAAGACGCAAGAGTCTGTACTTAAAACGTCATACATTCACTGCGTCCTCATTGTACTTCTGTTGAATCTTGATGGCTTTTATTCTCCTTCGGATTTTCATCTTCTACAAGTTTGTTGTCACTTTGGTCACCCTGGTCCTGCTCACCTACAAGAACTTTACTGTAAAGTTTCTGCTGCTCTTCTTTAAAAGCATCTTTCACTTTTGCCCGTTTCAGCCCTCCGTCCCTGAGAGGACACAGGTAAGAAAGGAGAAGAGTATCACACACAGACTCAAGAGGGAAATGATCTCCTGCACACTGCAGTTTCTGTCAAAGCTAAAAGCCAGTGTTTTTTTTTTATGCCATTGGCAACCTCTAACAACCATGACCACCAACAGTTTGTATGCACATCTAATTTATTCAATTTATTCAAACAGTGGAAAAAATATACATAACATATATTGCTTGGCTGAGTTAGAAAGGGTTGCGCATAAAAGAAAAATGCTACTTAGATACTTGGATTCTTTGTAGTTCCATCATCTTGTCATGCCCACCTGACTGGAGAATTAGTGCCACCTACTGCTTATCTCCATAAACCAACTCCTAATATTTTGCACAACAGTAGTGGATGTAAACACACATAAATTTGTATTTCTTTTGTAGATTTGCTGTCAATAAGATTTGCGCTACATTTGGATGGAAACCTGGCTAATAACTCACCAAATAAGATCCACTAATCCTCCTTGTGCAGCTATTGCTGCTTTCACTCTGTTGGCAAACTGCACTGCATCCTCCCCTTCCTACACAAGGACAATAAAAAAAACAGGCTAAGAAAAAGTGGTAGAAGTATTCCAGTGGATAGAAGAAGCAAAAGATGACCTGGGTGTTCCATCGCTGATTTTGGTAACACACCAAATATTTCTTTGTTAGGTTGTGACAAAGAGTTTCACCTCTCTGTTCATAGGTGGCAGGTACCAAACGCTGCAGACGATGGCCCAGCTGCTCATCATCCTTAGCAGATAATTCACCATACCAAACTTACTGCTGTTCCAGAAAGCATCCCCAAACCGAGGATCATACTGTGAGATGGAAATTTTCAATTAAATTAAATTTTATTGATATAGCAGAAGTCATAACAGAAGTTATCTCAGAACAGTTTTCAAATAGAACCAAACTAGACCGTACTCCTTTTTAAAATAATTTAAAGAGACCCAACAGTTTGCGCCATGAGCAAGCACTAGCACTTGACAGTTGACAGTAGCAAGGAAGGTTTGAGGTTATATCAAGCAAAGCAAAGAGCAAAATGAACAGAAAGGAGGAAAAATAGTACTTCTTACCTTAATGGCAACCGGATAGACGGTGCAGCCGATTTCAAAGCTTCCCTTTTTAAACATCATCACTGATGTGTTGTTGATGCAAGTACCTGTAGAAGACACAGTGTGAATCTCTTATCAACACATCTTATGGGCTCTACGTGTGTGTTTGAAAGAGTTATGTCCTCATACACACCCTCAGGGAAGATCAGGATGGGCTGTTTGGTTTTGTCAGCAACGTGATCGCCAAGCCTGAAATGAGTGAGCAAAATATTGCCGTTAGCTTCACTTCCACAGTTTAAGCCCAATGATGTTCAGACCCAATTCAAACTGCTGCGACTATGGCAACAGCCAAATCATTACATATGCATACTCTGATCTATATCAAGTTCACTAAGGTGCTTATAAATGATATGAAATGTGGTATATACTGCTTTCTTAAATGTCTTTTATGCAAGGCTGCCAAGGTCAGTGCCAGTGTGCAATCTAATTCTATGAACAAGCTGCTACAGGCTATTCCACTTTTATGATAGAGTATGCTCACCGTCAGGTCCTTTTGTTTTATAGCAGCCATACCTACATACTGATGCATCATAAAGTGAGAAAGTATTGAGGTTTTTAGAGCAAGGATACAAAAATGCATAGTATAAAAAGAGTTTTGATAAATGTTAAATTGCGAGTCCCCCCCCCCCCAACTGCAGCACTGCCACTCCTCTCTGACTCCCCCAAGAATATATAGCTCCACCTTCAGATCTGATTTCCGTCCAACCATACCAAGAAGAACAAAGAGAACCTGCTGTGAGTTTAACATGCCCCTTATCGCCTTTAAAATATGATTCATGTGTTACAAAACTGTTTTAAGATAACAATTTGTGTTTATGATGCTATAGTCTAGAAAGGTTTCTATGTTAAGAAGAAAAGAGAGAAAATAGGGTCAGATTGTGGATGCATTAATTAAGTTAAATTATCTGATTTATTTCTTGTTAGTAGTTTTGTAATTATTCAGATTTGTAAAATTTCTGTAATATTCTTTTTGTATAGAAAAAATAATTCACATTCACATCCACCGACTGAAATAAACAGTTAAAATGGATTTCTGGATCCTGTGTTTAAATGTGCACACCACATAGGATGTTCAGTGAGCCAACACTACCATTGCAATACCTTTTTTTTAAAAATCTACTAAAAATGCTGCCATTGACTTACTAGTATATTATTTGTTAGAAGGCCTTTGCCCATGATGGAAAAAAATATGTGTGCAAGACTATTGTATCTTATATTTTAATTAATTATGTGCCAAATGTGTATTATAATTGAAAACACACTGAGCTGAGCATACTAGATGATAATGGGTTGCACATAGCGGTGCTGACCATGATGTAACAGAGGTGAAGGGCAGTGCTAACACTGAGAAGATGCAGTGTTACCTCTTGGCCACTAGGTGTCTGTCTTTGACTTCTGATCTTTCAAACCAGATGTGAGGAGAGGATCTGACCATGGCTCGCTGGATCATTCCCATCAACCCTCCATGCACCTGGCCAACCTGAGAGACAAGTTCAACTCAAAAACATCTCTACTCAACTCTAATACTCTATAAGCTATCATTATCATTCATACAGAGAAACGCATATGGAGACACATAAACTTTTCTACCATAGAGTAGCAGCCATCATTGGCCAAGATGATGACATCAATGGGTGTTGTGTGATTGGCCACACAGATACCGCCATTCTTAGGTTTGTTCTCTCTGAAATTAATCAAGTTTGTTTAAGACACATGTAGAACTTAGAGACAGGCTAACAAATATTCAGTCCAAAAAGAGGCAACTATACCATACACAGGTCAATTCTGTTCTGATAATTAGAATGTATTTAATAAATTAAAGTGTCTGAGGAAAAATATCGTACCTGTTATGATAGGTGATGATTGCTGTGAGAGCTCTAACGCAGATGCGGTAACACATCAGATGAACCTTCTCGCTCAGGAAGAACTTTAACCTGAAGACATGCACCATAATGCCAAAACAATTACTCCAATCTCTTTAGGATGCACACTTCAAAGTCATCCACTTCATTTTCATTTAAGAGCAGAACAATCCCACAGAAAGAAAAACCCCAGACTGGCTGAGCTACATGTGGTTACACACATGATCTACCCTTGTTATAGGGACCTAACTTCACATGGATGCTCAAACTGTGATGAGAATTGGAGGAAACTTACTCTCTGTTTGGTAATAAGCCCACCAAAGTAGTCAGAACTAGAAGCAGACTAATGCCAGTGACTGCCAGAGTAACCCTGCAGGAACAAACCGAACATACTGAGTTGATTCAAGACTGAACCAGCTATTCACAGCTTTTGTACAATGTGATAAATCTTACTGCCTCTATTACATATCCTGCCAGTGTGCTGCTCTGACCTGAGAGGCAGCAGGACACCGTACCGGATGAGCACTCCCAGGCCCCAGAGGACAGTGAGTCTCAGACTTATATGACGGAAGTTGTAGTTGCTTCGAGTCAGCAAGTTCCAGCTCTCCAGTTCCTGGGCCGAAAAGCACTTGGTCACCTCGTCGTCCATGATGCTCTCCACACCTCTCCGGCAGAAGTAGAAGATGTCAGCCATCTCAAACTCCGGCTCTGAGCGCAGACAGCTGGCAGAACCTCGGAGATCCTGGATCTCCTGCTGCCACGATGACGGTGGTTCTTTCGCTATGATTCCTACATTGAGAACGAAAAGAAGACGTGCGTTTGAGTTAGTGGTACAAAGTACAGAAACAGGGAGAATTCATGACATTAAATATAGAAATGTTACTCGTTTACCACTGCTATATGGTTTATAGAGTTGCTGATTCTTTTCCTTGGCTCCCATCTCCATTCGTGAGGTTGCCCACTAATTTATGAAAAAAAAACAAAAAAACAACTACATTAGAAAAAAGTATTACATTTCCTTTTGCTGTAAGAAATAATAATTTAAATTGGGACCCAACACCGAAGTAAAGGCAGTGCAGGCCTCCCACTTCCAGTCAAGGCTAGAGTCTCAAAGAGAATATGGGCAGTGTAAATTCTTATTTTATTAGAGGGATGAAATTAGGCAACACAGTCTCTGGAGACTGGTCCAGTTTCAGTTTCCTCTACTTATTGTCTGACGAGCATAAATAAGTCATAATTTTGATAGATCAGGTCTCCGCAGCCACCTTGACCAGGAGAGAGGTTTTTTTACGCCTGGTGTGTGAACAAGTAAACATTTCTGCATGGTTTTAGCCCACGGACAACAAACTATTCACAACCAGTACATACACGCACTCCTGTGCTAACAAGTTCTCTCTGACCTGCTGCATGGAGCCAAGATGATAGACACTACAGAGGGTTCGCCAGCCTTGCAAGATGCTAAGACTGATTTGGAAGTGTGGAGAGGCCTCTAAAGCCAGACTGCCCGACACAAAGCTTCCTGTTCACAACTAATCCCCGAACGAGGTATCAAGAGCTAAATTAAGACAGTCGAGCCACGTATATGGTACACACTGAACAGCAAAGCCACATATGTCAACAGAATGGCAGTGCTTCACAATTGCCATGATTGCAGTCACAGGAAATTTGAACACACATGAAGGCAGTGGAATACCAGTTCCATCTACAGTCCCGTGGGAAAGCCTGGACTTTCAGCTCTCTGAGATGAAACAAACATTTGGCTGGTCAGCTTTTTTCTTGGCTCACATGCACATTGTTGGAGCACTGACTGGATAAAGCAGCCAGAGAGGATGTACATCCCCTCACACAGGAACATGCATACTGCAGGTTTATGAAGGATCAAGAGTCTGCAGCTCCTCCCACCCTCTCGGCAAAAGCCCGCAGAAAGGCAGTCTTGATTGACAGCCACTTCAAACTGACCAGCTCAGGTAGCTTATCCAGGGCCCCGAGAACAAACTGCAAAGGTGGTACAACTCCTTCAGCTGTCCTACAACCTTCAACAAATTGGGAAAGCAATTTGTTCAGCTTTAATTGAGTGACTAACATTATCCTGAGTGTAGAAGGGGAGGTCTGAATCCAACAGACAGAAGCTGCAGGGGCTCAGGGGCTGAGCTTGTAAGGAGAACTGCCTTGTGCTTTCTGTACCAAAAATCCTCCAACTATGCCCGTCGATGGACTGAGTCCCAGGAGTGTCAGCTCCCTGCAGTATCTACTCCACCTCAGATGGTAGTCCCATGGTTGAAAGCTTGTTCCACCCAGGAGTCTTTCCCAAAACCTCAGTCCCTGAGGAAAGGGAGGCAACATCATGCCCTGCGCTTCTAACAGTCCCTCTGAGCTGGGAGAACCCAGGGGTTGCATCTGACAGGGAATACATTTAACTAATAACTGAGATTAACAATGCAAAATAAGTTAATACTGTTCTAGTTTAGAGGTCAGATCTTTCTTCCAAAATGCAACAAGAAATAAAGCAAAGACTTTGATTTTGCACCCTTTTAAAAATGTGAATTAAATAGACACCAAACTTACCTCAAAGACCTTGAGAAGTGTCACGATGTAAAGTCTGCGGATACCAATAGAGACTCCAAGTACAGCCGGCACAATTATGAAGACAAACAGAAGAGTAAACCACACCGTGATGGAGATGCCAAGACACCTGCACAGCAGGTTGTCGGCAGGGAAAGTAAACCAAGTCATGCTGCCCAACAGCGGAGGAGAAACAGGGAGCAAAGAGACTGCACACCACAAGTAAACCCACAGCTTTAGGGCAGGTCTTCTGGTCCGTTTGAAGTGTCTGAAGACGCTGAAATGTGACTCAGGAGTGACTCTTTGTCTGCGCCTGACAAAGACAGCACAAAATATTAGTCATAACAAATAGAAACTGTGTACCCTTTCAGGTGAGTTGCTCTATACAATGATGATCATGTTAAATTACTTTTTGAGCAACATCATATGTTTTATTCATAAATTATTATTATTGTATTGTTATATTGATATATTACTGATTTATTCAAGCACCTAACGTTATATTGACACCTAGTAAGATGTCGACTTTATTTACTTGATTTAATTTCTTATTTTGATTGCTTTTTATTGCGTGGCTATTATTTTTACTCATGTTTTATGTCTTTT